GTCGTGCGTGCAGAAGGGAAGGAACCACGCTTGGTCCTAGACAGCACCGTGTGCGGGGTGAACCCAAAGTGCAATATCCCAGAACGCATCAGCCTGCCCATGGCATCCGATGCGCGCCTAGCGTTTATGCCAGAAGACACGCACGCTTCATTTATAGGCGCAAGTTTTGACTTTAAAGCCGCACACAAGCAAATTCAGGTGCATCCAAGCGAACATGGCTTGCTCCTGTTTCGCTTCGCAAACGCTCTGTGTCATTATAGAGTATGCCATTTCGGAGCACGCTTCTCCGCATATTGGTGGCAACGCACAGGAGCGTTCCTGCTCAGGCTTTTGCACGGCATCCTGTCATGCCACCCGCACAGAGCTTGGCTGTTTGTAGATGACCTCCTGGCCGCGCTGCACCGCCCAGACGCGCGTCATCAGTTGGCCCTGGTGGTCATTTTCTTCGCAGCCATCAGCGCGCCCATTTCCTGGACAAAAGTACAATTCCAGAACTGCCTGACACGGTGCGGATGGTGAATCAACTTCAGCCTGGAAACCATTGAGCTCACTCCGCTCAAAACCCTGAAGCTCAAAGAGCAACTTTCCGCTTTGCCCCACTCCAAAAGAATCAAAAGAAAGCTTTTGGAGCAAGTCCTGGGGCTGCTCATCTGGGCTACTCGCCTAAGTTTAGAATTACGGTCTTGGCTTGCGCCTCTTTATGCAGATCTGCAGTCGCCGCCAGGGTGCATGATCTCAGTGCACGCACGCCTGTGGCCCGCATTCCTGTCGGCGCTAAACGCCAAAGCCGTACTGGCATCTCCCGTGCATGGGTGCGCGTCGCCGACCCAACTGCCGAGCACACCCGCTTATCCACAGCAAGCAGGGCTAACGTTGCATGGTTCTTGCAGTGCTTTCAGGCAGATTTGGCACGCCCGCTGCGAAGCAAGCCAATCCTTGCATGCAAAGCAGCCGCCGATGCTTGCGACGAAGGCACCAAAGTCGGCATAGGTGGCTGGTTTATCTCCAGCAGCTCGGTCTCCTGGTTCGCAGAAACGTGGGAGTTCCACAAAGGAGGCCCAACGCTACATTGCGTGGTTCGAAACCCTGGCCCAACTCGCACTCATGCGCATCGCTTGGAGTGCCGAGGGTCAAGCCGTGCATGGTTTCTGCATGCCTTCCGGCACGGACAACACAGCCTCAGAGGCAGGTGTGAACAAATTGTTCACAACAGCATGGCCTTTGCAGGTTTTTGTGCAGTCAGTCGCTGCATGGGCCTATAAGCACAAATGGTCAGTGCTAGCCTCACATATCCCAGGCGAGCGCAACGTGTGGGCTGATCAGCTCAGCCGCGGCAATACGTCCGCTTTCGACAGCAAGCCGCAAGCTCGCTTTCGTTTTCGCCCGCATGATTTCTGGCCCCAGCAATGCAAGCTTTCGCTGCACCCGCCCGACGCCCCGTGGGGAGCATGTAAGTGCTTCGCAAACGCTCTGAAGAGGGGGTGACAGATATTTTAGGCCGTTTGCTTGGAACCCTGAAGTGGGGGCATATGAGAAGGCTCCGCAGTGGGGTGCAGACACGGGGAAAGGACACGCGCTGTCTTTCCCCCTGCACCTCCGAGCCTTAACTTCCAAGCAACGCCTCATAAAGAAAAAGAGCGTGCGTACATGTTTGTCGGTCGCACCTCTTTTATCTTTGGCTGCATGTTCCCTTTTGGATTGAAGCAGTGATCAAGATTCTATCGTTTAGGGTTTTCTTTTCCCTTATGTTTTAATCTTGATCGAATCTTCGGACGCGTTGCCGTTTTCTGCTTCAAGCCACCAAAGGGTCATGCGTGAGGGTTACCCCTCACTTTTTTGCGCCCACCCTCCCACCCTTTCAACACTCAGGTGGATCCTCCAGGGCCCAGCCGCGGCTGGCGCCCCAGCGTTGTTGTGCTTACCTTGCAACGGCGAGAGTAGCCGTCAGGTTCCACTTTGCACCGTGTGCCTTGCTGCGCACTAGCGGATGCACGCTTTGCATCTTCCAGGTCCAGCCGCAGCTGGCACTCCACAAACATAGTTCATGGCATGCCCCGGCATGCTGTAACTGCCGCCAGGCCCCAACCTGGCGCCGTGTGCCCCATTGCACACCAGCTGGTTGCACGCTTTGCATCCTGCTTGGCTATGTGTGCCGCAACGCACACCAGCCGGATGCCTACATTGCACCCGGCCGCCATCAATGCCTTCGACTGTTTCACGCCTCACAAGACCTGACACTTGGTCGAACACGCGCTGTTGACCACGGGGGCATATGAGAAGGCTCCGCAGTGGGGTGCAGACACGGGGAAAGGACACGCGCCGTTTTTCCCCCTGCACCTCCGAGCCTTAACTTCCAAGCAACGCCTCATAAAGAAAAAGAGCGTGCATACATGTTTGTCGGTCGCACCTCTTTTATCTTTGGCTGCATGTTCCCTTTCGGATTGAAGCAATGATCAAGATTCTAACATGGAGAAGGCCGAGGGCACCCAGCTTTCAAGCCTTTCCACCACCCTGCGCTTAAACCAGCCGATCCACTTGCCCACTGCGGTTCATCGGGACGCCTGGACCTGCCCACACAGAGCCGGTTGCCCCACACCCCCAGCCCAAGGCAGCTTAAGTTCGGAGTCGAAGCGCAGCCTCACACGCGAGCAGCAGCACGCGTTTGCGCATGCTGGAAAGAGAGTCACACCCCCCTGGCCACGGGCCTTGGGCTAACGGGGTCCAGGCTTGAGGGGGGGGGGGCAAGGGGGCAAGGGATCATTTTAAAATGCGTTTTTGGCCCCCTCGGGTTCAGCTGGCTGAAAAAAAGGCACAAAATGACATTTCTGCAACTTCTGAAACTCTTGCGAAACTCTGATCATAAAGGGCAACCTGGCCTCTCCTCGCAGCCTGGTCCAGGGTGCTACTAAGAGAGGCTTCGCTGCCGAAGTAGCTCCGGAGCCTTGCTTCCGGAGCAGCGCCACTCCCATTTGGCGTCCAGAAGACTTCCTCGTTTCCTTGTTTCTGTGACACAGCGCCCGAAGTTCATCGTGTCAAAGACAAAATCGTCATTTCTGTGACAAAGATCATCGTTTCTGTGACAAATCATCGTCTCAGTCAAGCAGTGACATGGCATCAAGCCGAAGACCTGATCGTTTCTGATCATCGTTTCTGTGACACAGTCATTGTTTCTGTGACAAAGTCTCCTTTCTGTGACAAAGATTGATGAAAGTGCTGCGGCTGCCACGAAATCTGTGCTTGACCTTGCGAAAGTGCTGCGCTTGCCCCGCGATTTACACCTTTGTCTCTGTCTTTCTCTCTTTCTCTCTGCCCATTTGATCTATCTATCCATCTGTCTATCTATCACCTGACCTTGCGAAAGTGCCGCGCCTGCCACGAAATCTTTACTTGACCTTGTGAACGTGCTGCGCCTGCCACAAAATCTGTACCCGACCTTGCACGGGCACAAAGTGCTGCGCCTGCCGCGAAATCTGCACCTTGGGCTGCTAAAGGCCACGCAAAATGGACCTCCGAAAAAGTATGCGCGAGCATTACATTGAGCAACATTCCGAGCCTCTCGAGATCGTGGCGAGACTGCACGCTGAACAGGGGTACCTTTCGCGTGTTTCGCATGTCTGATTTTACTTTTCGTATGACGGAAGTTTTCTATTTAAACTTCCTTTGAACAAACCGGTTGGTTTATTCATCCGGGCTCAACATTAAGATGCCCTTCGGGATGCAGGGCATTTGGATGCGGGGGCCGTGGGCCTAAGGAAGCAAGCCAAGGGGCGAGGCACCTTTTTGTGAAAGGCTCACAAATCAAACAAACAGAACTCATGAAAACAGTAGCGTGAAATTCAGAAATCAGGAAAGCGAAGCTTGTGCGCGAAGTTCGGAAACAGGTTGGTTTCCAGACCGTCGGTAGGGTCGGTGTGGTCAGGACGGTCGGCGCAGTCTGGAGGATCGGTTTAGGTAGGGTTGATTTAGGGTGGTTTGGGGCGAGTTTAGGCTTGGTTTAGAGGGTGAGTTTAGGGTTGGTTTAGGGTTGGTTGAGGGCTGGATAAGGGTGGTTGGTTAGGGTTGATTCAGGGGTTGGCTTAGGCGAATTTGGGATTGGTTAGGATGGTTTAGGGTGGTTTTAGGTTGGGTTTGGGATCTAGAGTTGGTTTAGGGCTGGTTTTGGGTGGAGGTTCTGGGTTGGTTTTGGGGTTGTCTTAGGATGTTTATGGTCTGTTTGGTGCTTCAAGGCTGCTTTGGGTGGGTTGGGGGGCTAGCGTTGGTTTGAAGTTTAGGACGGCTCCAAGGTATGCTCGGGATGGTCAGGATGGTTGGCATGCTCGGGACAGGAACGGTCGGGACGGTTGGTCGGGATGGTTGCAGTCGAAATGGTCGGGATGCTTTACGGCCGCAACAGTGTGGGCAGTCGACTGGATGTCAAGAGGATTTCACATTCTCGGCCAATATTTTTTCATCGTCGGCCGACTGTGCAGGCTGAATTGCACATCAACCGCAAACCAGTACTGTGCACCTGACAGCGTGCACTAGATAGTTAATTTGGCCCCCCACCAGCGCAACTCGTGTGGCTATTGTTTGTACCAACAGAAGCAAGCCCTGCCAAACGATGCAAGAACAATTCAAGGGCTATTTTCTCTTTGGTTCTATGATAATTAGTAGGGGGAGTCATGTCACATTCAACGATGATTGCGTTTGTAGTTGGATTTACGGATTCTTTTTTGAATCTACCAATCTTGATGCCAAAGACGTGACAAACCTATTTGCGCCTGGAACGCTTGGCAAAGTGACGGTCTATGATTCTGGCGCCAGTCGGCTCAAGCCGGCTCCCATGACGTTGTTTGCCAACAAAGCACTCTTCCATATTAAAACGTTCGAGCCGTTGTTGTGGTGGGGGATGGAAGCGTTCAGTTGCTCTTTGCGCGCATCAGCCCACTTGCCTGGATTTTCGGCATATGTCTTCGGCGCCCAGACAGTTTGGGTCGGCCAGACATTTTTGGTTGGGTCTGCCTCAGAGCAATGTTTTCCCTTCTACAGGACGGTACCATGTGACGCCATGCGCGGCCTGCTGTTGGCATGGTGTGCGCTTCTGGTGGGTGGGGCCCGGCCCAGCATGCAGGCGAGGTTCTCGCAAGGGAGGGCTAGTGGGGAAACCAAACCTCACTCACCCTCTGAAAAGAATCCGAAGTTGACACGGGCCCGTTCTCTTGGGTGGTTGTGATATTTGCTCGAGACAGGGATTAGCTGCACTAGCTGCGAAATCATCCAGAAGACAATTAAGAAATGGAATCTCCCGACCACCGGTCAATTTCAGACACCAAAAGAGACCATTGCTTTGTGCAGGCCTTCTCCGGAACGAAGATCTGAGTTTCAGAAGTTAAGTGGTTTCTGTAACGCAACTTGGAGTTCTGTTCAACCACACGCCTTTGAGATTGCATTTTTTTTCAGATCATGGTAACAGGGCTCCTTAAAAGATACGTTTTGCCCCATTTGAAACATGGCTTTTTCCACCAAAATAAAGGGAAACCACCATTTACAAGGCAATGTTCAGGTGTATTATGTAAGGATGTACCTGGTACCTTCATATCAAGTCAGGATCCATGTTTTCGATCTCACTCCCTTTTCTTGGCCGCCTTCATATGGCCATGTGTCAAAAGCCCGTACCCAAATCCAATGAACATCCCAATCCAACCACTAAAATAGGTTCTAAAATCGGTGGTGCACGAATTTTCCAAAATGGGATCCCAAAACGGTTTTGACAACCACACAAAGTCGTATCAATGCGGTCGTTTTTTTTTTTTCAACATTCTCTGCTCTTCCGAGAGCCTGGCAGGTGCCTGAGAAGGGCTTTGTTTTGCGTCCGGCAATTGACAGCCGGAACCTGACACAGAACTTGGTGGCGAAGCCAGCCATCCCCTTAGCTTTTGAGAGCCTTTTAGTGTTTAGTGGTAGTTTCCGAATTTCACCCCCCACTTTGAGCGGGGTATCTGAGGGCAGGCCAGAGAAATGGTCCCTTTCAAAGGAACATGGTCCAAGCCAGGACCCCCCGAACGGCAGGTTCCATGTTAATTTTGCAGCTGGCCATCCGAGCTGGCAGCATGGAACCTGCAAAAAGCGTCCATTTGTGAAGTAGCGCCTCCTTTTGGGGCCGGGGTCTCTCTGAAAGTAGGTCCTGTGAATCAACTTCTTGACTTGCTTCTTCTTCTCCCCTGAAAGGAAACAGATGCGTTGAGTGGTTTGATTCATCTGCAAGGGAGAAGTAGTTGCAATTCAAAGTTGCCTGACCAATTACACGAACGACTATTTAAACCTTGACTTGTAGCCACGCAGTAAAACTTGAGCACCGGTGTCAGGCCAACTCCCTCAACGCGGACACAAGGCCTAACGCATTCAGATGTGCCTTGGAGGCAATGAAGCACGGCGTGACTTGAATCCAGGTGACGACGGTGTTCATGACTTTTGTTTTTGCTTGCAAGTGTCTTTGTTTGCTTGCTTGCTTGTTTGCTTGCTTGCCTGTTTGCCTGTTTGCTTGTTTGCTTGCTTGCTTGCCTGTTTGCTTGTTTGCTTGCTTGCTTGCCTGTTTGCTTGTTTGCTTGCTTGCTTGCCTGTTTGCTTGCTTGCTTGCTTGCTTGCTTGCTTGCTTGCCTGTTTGCTTGTTTGCTTGCTTGCTTGCCTGTTTGCTTGTTTGCTTGCTTGCTTGCTTGCCTGTTTGCTTGTTTGCTTGTTTGCTTGCTTGCTTGCTTGCTTGCTTGCTTGCTTGCTTGCTTGCTTGCTTGCTTGCTTGCCTGTTTGCTTGCTTGCTTGTTTGCTTGCTTGTTGGCTTGCTTGCTTGCCTGTTTGCTTGTTTGCTTCCTTGCTTGCCTGTTTGCTTGCTTGCTTGCTTGCTTGCTTGATTGCTTGCCTGTTTGCTTGTTTGCTTGTTTGCTTGCTTGCCTGTTGGCTTGTTTGCTTCCTTTTTGCTTGTTTGCTTGCTTGCTTGTTTGTTTTGCTTGTTTGCTTGCTTGCCTGTTTGCTTGTTTGCTTGCTTGTTTGCTTGCTTGTTTGTTGTTCTTGCTTGCTTGCCTGTTGGATTGTTTGCTTCCTTTTTGCTTGTTTCCTTGCTTGCTTGTTTGTTTGTGTGTTTGTTTGTTTGTTTGTTTGTTTGTTTGTTTGTTTGTTTGTTTGTCTATTTGCTTGTTTTGTTTGTTTGATTGTTTGCTTGTTTGTTTATTTGCTTGTTTTGTTTGTTTGTTTGTTTGTTTGTTTGTTTGTTTGTTTGTTTGTTTGTTTGCCTGTTTGCTTGTTTGCTTGCTTTTTGCATGTTTTGCTTGCTTGCTTGCTTGCTTGCTGGTTTTGTTTGTTTGTTTGTTTGTTTGTTTGCTGGCTTCTTGCTTGCTTGTTTGTTTGCTTGCTTGCTGGCTTGTTTTTTGCTTGCTTGCTTGCTTGCTTGTTTGCTTGCTTGCTTTCTTGCTTTCTTGCTTGCTTGCTTGCTTGCTTGCTTGCTTGCTTGCTTGCTTGCTTGCTTGCTTGCTTGCTTGCTTGTTTGCTACAAAACCAACTAAGTTAGTTTGGTGGTGAGTTGGTTGGCTAATTCGTTTCTCCCTTTGTCATTCTTTTTACAACCGTTTGATATTGATTGACAGTTAATTCAGCTTCCCCCTAATTGGTGGTTCTAGGTGATTTGGTGTTTCCCATTCATCCACCACAAGAACCAGAAGTTCAAATCCAAAGCACCGGGCTCTCCACCAATTGGGGGGTACCAGCCTCGCGGACTGGCCCGCCTTGGTTTTGATCACAGTGTCATTTTTCCAGAGGTTGGCTGGGGCATTCCTGCATCATTTGGCAGTGGCTCAAAATTAACGAGCTAGGGTTACGCAGTCTATGTTTCCACTTACCAGCATTCCATTTTGGTACCGGTTTTTTGAGCCATACCCATTTGAGTGGAAGCACATCAAGGGCTCATCCAAAAGTAGGGTCCATTGATCCAGGATCAAAGCAAAGCTTCAGTCCTTTGCTAAACATGTGGCTGTGGGTCAAAAATGCGTACCCGAAATGGAACCCTGATAAATGGACCCAAAGACTAAAACCTGCGGTCCCCTGGTGGGTTTATTTTGACCCATACCCACGTATCAATCCCAACACTTTCCGCTTGGCTGAAAGAAGCTTGTGTTCCTGGCTATGAGGAGCTTGCTTGGAGATGAAGTGGCAAACCGAGTTGGTGTTAGCTCAAAGGCTGTTGCAGGAAGCCTTAAGGGTCATAAATCCACAAACAGCATTTAATACCCCATTGCTTTCTGTTCATCAACCCATTCTTGGAGATGTATTATGAATGACATTCTGAGGACATGCGTGCATACACACCCTTTTGGGGGAAAGGAACATGAACATGAGCAAGCCTTCCAGGGTCATCTATCCAAGTCAGTTTTGGGACTCCTTCCCACTGTGCAAGGGATCAATTCATGCCTTGCCAACGGGCGGCGTACCTTCAGGCTAGTTGCTTGGAGTAGTTTCCTCTTGGCCGCTGGATGCGGCCACTTGATTCTTGCGCTGCCTTGTTTGGCCTTGAGGTGTTGGCCCGCTAAGAGAGATTCAATCATCGACCGGTCATCGGCCGTTGAAGTGCGCCCCTGGCTTTGTGCTTTGTGCTTTCCGCAACGTCAGAAACCATTGGGCGCGACGCCGCAAAACTGCCGCGAGGACATTTTGAAGGTTAAATGGAAGGCGTATGCTCATTGCGTATGCCCTTGGGTTTCTTTGGGTGTTCTTCTTCGGACGGAAAGCACTCATGATTCTTCCTCCACTTCTGAAAGCCGTGGGATTGCTCTGTTTTTGGAAGGAACACCTGCGTTTGGCTTGCTTTGGCTTTCCAAACCCTTGAGCGTTTTGGGTTCCTTTGGGGTCCGAGACGAATGCCGCCGCCTGCAGGCCCCAACAACGAGCTCGCCAGGACCGCACTGCAGAAGCTGGGCCTGGAGTCGGACAAGCTGCCCGAAGACTTGTGCACGCATCCCAGCGTGGGGTGCGAGGCGGGGGCAATCCCTGATCATTTGCTATCATTCAAAGGGGCTGCTCCATTTGGCACGTTCCAACAGACTCTGGCTGTGGGTCAAAACCAATGGTACCATTTAGGGGTAGGTACACCACCCATTTTAGTCGATTTTAGTGGGAATTGGGATGTTCACTGGGGGTACGGGATGTTGACCCACAAGTTTGAGGGGACAAGGGTCCACGTGTCTCACCAGCTACCCTTCGAGGATTGCCGCGTGGTGCGTTTGGAGCTGAAGGCCTGGCTGAACGGAACTATGGAGGCATTCCAGGCGGGGAAGGGGCCGGGCTCTTTCTTTAGGGGGTTTGGTTGGTTGGTTGGTTGGTTGGTTGGTTGGTTGGTTGGGTGGTTGGGTGGTTGGGTGGTTGGGTGGTTGGGTGGTTGGGTGGTTGGGTGGTTGGGTGGTTGGGTGGGTGGTTGGTGGTTGGGTGGTTGGGTGGTTGGGTGGTTGGTTGGTTGGTTGGTTGGTTGGTTGGTTGGTTGGTTGGGTGGTTGGGTGGTTGGGTGGTTGGGTGGTCGGGTGGTTGGGTGGTTGGGTGGTTGGGTGGTTGGGTGGTTGGTTGGTTGGTTGGTTGGTTGCTTTGGTTGGTTGCTTTGGTTGGTTGCTTTGGTTGGTTGCTTTGGTTGGTTGCTTTGGTTGCTTTGGTTGCTTTGGTTGCTTTGGTTGCTTTGGTTGCTTTGGTTGCTTTGGTTGCTTTGGTTGCTTTGGTTGCTTGGTTGCTTGGTTGCTTTGGTTGCTTTGGTTGGCTGGCTGCTTTGGTTGGTTGGTTGGTTGGTTGGTTGGTTGGTTGGTTGGTTGGTTGGTTGGTTGGTTGGTTGGTTGGTTGGTTGGTTGCTTGCTTGCTTGCTTGCTTGCTTGCTTGCTTGCTTGCTTGCTTGCTTGCTTGCCTGCCTGCCTGGCTGGCTGCCTGCCTGCCTGCCTGCTTGCTTTCTTGGTTGCTTTGCTTGTTTGCTTGTTTGCTTGGTTGCTTTGCTTGTTTGCTTGGTTGCTTTGCTTGCTTGCTTGTTTGCTTGCTTGCTTGCTTGCTTGCTTGCTTGCTTGCTTGCTTGCTTGCTTGCTTGCTTGCTTGCTTTCTTGGTTGCTTTGCTTGTTTGCTTGGTTGCTTTGCTTGTTTGCTTGGTTGCTTTGCTTGTTTGCTTGCTTGCTTGCTTTCTTGGTTGCTTTGCTTGTTTCTTTGTTTGCTTGCTTGCTTGCTTGCTTGCTTGCTTGCTTGCTTGCTTTCTTGGTTGCTTTGCTTGTTTGCTTGTTTGCTTGGTTGCTTTGCTTGTTTGCTTGGTTGCTTTGCTTGTTTGTTTGCTTGCTTGCTTGCTTGCTTGCTTGCTTGCTTGCTTGCTTGCTTGCTTGCTTGCTTGCTTGCTTGCTTGCTTGCTTGCTTGCTTGCTTGCTTGCTTTCTTGGTTGCTTTTCTTGTTTGCTTGGTTGCTTTGCTTGTTTGCTTGGTTGCTTTGCTTGTTTGCTTGCTTGCTTGCTTTCTTGGTTGCTTTGCTTGTTTCTTTGTTTGCTTGCTTGCTGTGCTTGCTTGCTTTCTTGGTTGTTTTGCTTGTTTGTTTGCTTGCTTTGCTTGTTTGCTTGGGATCCAGGTGCCGATGGCTGTCACTTGATACCCGATGACTGTGACTTGGTGTTGTTGCTTTTTTGGGGGGTTGTTGGCGGCGTCCCAGCATCACCTAAAGCTGTCTTTGGGGCTTGCTGAGATCTTGCTGGGGGGGCTTGTGTGCGAATGTATCATGGTCTTGGCCTTTGGCGCCGTGCGTCTCTTGAGCGCGGCGAAGCCTCTGCGGAGATCGCAGGTTTAGTATTGTGTCACCGCTAATCACCAAGGCACCCCCCCAAAACAGGCGCCCAACTCCAATTGGTGGCGGGCAACAAAGGCTGGCCAAATGGGGTGACTTCTTTTCGCAACTCGTTGGTGTATCTTCCGCCAGGCGGTTGACAGCGTCAGCCCGTTCACAGCTCTGCGACGGCTGAGTCTCAAAGGGAGCGCCCTGTCCGGCGACCTCCGGAGCCTTGTGAACCTGACGGCGCTCGAGGCGGCGAGCTTTTGGAAAGGCACCCAAACTGGGGTGGGTGCACCACCCATTTTAGAATCTATTTTGGGATGGCTTGGATTCCCCTAGGGTATGTGGCTGTGGGTCAAGACCAATGGGATCCCATTTTGGGGTAGGTGAATTCACCACCCATTTTTTAGAACCTATTTGAGTGGGGATTGAATCGGATGTTCACTGGGGGTACGATTTGGATTTTGACCCGTGTCCATGTTTCCGTTCAGAAAACAAACGAGTCGGCAACCATAATTCTTTCTTTGCCTGAGCTCCAGGTCATGGATCTGTCTGGCACCGCAGTCTCCGGCAACATCACAAGCCTCAGCGGACTCAGAAAACTCATCTCGCTCCAGCTCAAAAAGACCCAGGCGGGTGGCTGGCGGGAAGTTGGTTTGGTTTCTGCTAGCAACGAATCATCTCGGCCAGGGACCCTGGTTGAATCTGTGAGCGGCCTTGCTGAGTCCAAAGCGGCCTTAGCCTTCATTCCCATTCCTACTTGGTTGCTCCAGTACTTTTGAGCTTCTGAAACTAGGAATTGGAACCCACACCTTTTGGCTTCTCTTCAGCACCACTTAGTTTTTTTCTCCTCCAAAGCGAATTTCGTATTGCAACATCGCCAATCGCCAAGTGTTCATGTCGCCCGCCCAAAAAGGTGCCCAAGTCCAAATTGGTGATATGCAACAAAGGCAGGTTTGTTCAAAATGAGGCAGCAGACCCCACCGATTCCGGTGATTCACTTTTTAAGAAAGTGCAGGTGGAGGGCGACGTGGGCAGCCTGAGCCCGCTCACAGCTCTGCGATGGCTGACTCTCGCGAAAAGCGGCGTGTCCGGCGATGTGCAGAGTCTTGCGACGCTGACCGCGCTGGAGGCCACTGACTGACTTACAGCGTTTCTGAATAAACAAAGCCATTTGGCTATGGCTCAAAAGTAAACAGGAGGGGGTTACGCAGGTTTTGATCCATGTTTCCACTTACCAGGGTTCCATTTTGGGACGGGTTTTTTGAGCCACTGCCATTTGGCTATGGCTCAAAACAGTGGTACCCGTTTTGGGACAGACCCAAACCTGCGTAGCCCCAGGAGTTAGAGATAGCCTCTCCCGTCCGCATTGTCCTACCCCCCCCCCCCCACACTTTCAAGCACTTTTTAAATACACCTATCAAATTACACCATTCAAAACCATCAAATTGAACAACCCTCTAAGTTAATCATTAGAAAAATAATATTCTAATGATTAACTTCATTTTTTAGTCCAATTCGTCAAGATTCCCCTGATTAACTTTCTTTCTTCTCAAAGCTGGATTATACAAAGGCATTGTCATTTTGAGTTCCTGTATCCTCTCTTGACCTTCTTGAAAATATTTGTCCTTGAATTCTTGCGTAGGTGCTTCTTCAACTAATCTCTGATAATCTGCTTTCAAGTGTTTGAGCATATTATCTTGGTGACAACCTCCAACCAAATGGAAATCCCAAATCTCTGGGTTCACTCTTCTTTCACAAACATGACAATACAAATATCCATTATTCGCTGTCCTCTCTCGCTTCTTCGCTCTACATTTGTTACATGTTTTGAACCCGTTAAATTCAGTAATTGGTTTATTGACTCTACAACTGCTACACTCTGAATTCTCCATACTATGTTATGAACACATTTCCTTAAATGATCTTTCAAGATTACATACCTAGAAAATGAATAAACCCAACCTTTCCCATCCAAATAACACATTGTCAATTATCACTCCCCGAAAAATGGTTAACCAATGGAAAAGGGAGAATTAAAACCGTTAACCCAAATCTTGAAAACAATCCCAGTAAAATATGGATGGCAAAATGCGGATGGGAAAGGCCTATGTAGGAAAGCACCCCCACGGCTTATACGGGAAAACTAAACTAAAATTACAACATATAAGATCTTATATGTTGTAACTATAGTATAATCAAGAACTGAAACATTCATCTCAATAATAGCTAGCCGTGCTTTCATTATCACTAAATTCTTCATCCTCGTCATAGAAGTCTTCCGTGCTTAATATATGATAAAATCGGATATGCCATTCTGCCTCTGTTCTGAATGGCATCATTTCCAACAGTGCTCTCATTGCATCGTAATAACCCATTCTCAAGTGTTTTCTTTTGTCATCAATACTATCAATGAACCAGAGCTGTTTAAATTTATTTTCAATATCATTTATGTAGGAATAATTATAGAACGCTTTCAATTCTAAATATATTTCATAATCAGATTTGGTATCATCCAATGCTTCCGTTAAAGTCATTGCCCAGAATGGGTTTCTTTTTGCTCTTTCCCAAGTTGGAAAATGGTTTTTAAGAATATCATTAAACCTGTAAGGACATATATCATAACAGTGATATGACATAATATTCAATCTAATTTCCAATGGTAGATTATTAATGTCGCACATACTTTACTTAATATATTAAGGTAATATTTCTTTAAGCACTTTTTCAGGGAAACTTTGAAATCAAGCGAATTATAATTACAACATATAAGATCTTACATGTTATAAGTATAGTAAAACTATGGTATCAAAGGCTTTAATCTATGTATTTCCATGGGTTGTATTCGTTTCTTCTGTTCCTTCCTTAACTCTTTTGTTGCTTTTACTTTGTCTCTGCATTCCTTACATGATTTGTAAAATATCTCTTCCATTTTAATTCTATCATACATTTTGTGAAAATCCTTTCTTGGCTTTGCTTCGTCGCATTTACTGCAATGATAAACCATTGTGCATCCTGTTTCTTCTTCGTCATCTGTAGAACTCATAATATTAGTTATGCCAATATGTCTTTAAACGGATTTTCAGAGAAAAATGTTTTCAATCAAGAATAAATCCCTGTATCTTCATCATAGTCGATTTGATAAAATGTCATAGTTGAAGCCTTCGGTTCTTTAATTTCTTTGTTATTAAGTTTGTTTAAATAAATATTTCTTTTATTTTTATATTCACCATTGGTTCTATCTACTTCTTTACTTTGATAACTGTTTGTTAAAGGTTTCTTCTTTTCCATTTCTTGCAAGATTTCTAAAATATTCTTATTCTGTTCTAAAACCTTGCTCAGTTTTTTAACAATCTTTTCTAATCCTTCATCCATGTAAATATATATATATATATATTATATTATCAAATAAAACTTTTAAAACTAAACTTTTATTTTACAAAATCATATATCATTATAAGTCAATTCAAAATTAGTTATTGTGTAACTCGTTAAACTATTATTCAATTTACCAATTAAATTACAAATAATAGTTTTTCTAAATTATTCAATATTATTTGTAATATAAATTATTAAACATTTAATACATTCAAACACATTAACAACATTAATGTTACTATTTTTGTAAATATTATTCATTTTTCTCAATGTAATTTCATAAAACCGAATAGCATTTTTATTATCATAATTAGCAATAAATCTTAAAGTATATGAATATATTCTTTTACAATAAAATTTTAAATCTGATTGTTCAAATAAATCAGCATAATTAATAGAATTATAAAACATGTTAAAATCAATTTTACTATTTCTAAAGTCATTAACAAAATTAAGTAATATATCATTTTCGTTATATTCTTCAATAAAATTATTTAATTTCAATTCTTTTACATGAATGAATTTAAGAATATTATTTATAACATCTTGCATTATAAATAATAATAGAAATAATTTTAATTATTATTTTTTCATCATTTCGCGTATCGTTTCCTGTGTTTCCTTATCGCCATTATCGGATGGAGTAACTCCCCTCCCAAAGCGTATAGCAATATTATGAACATCTGTTTCTAAGTTGATACTGTCTTTAGTTTTATCAATATTCATTTTCTTATCATTTTTTCTAATTTTGAAACTTGTTGGAATACACGAACATTTACAGTTTCCTTTCTTTTGTATTTCTAATTCATTCTTCATTTCTAACATCTTTTTACACATTGGACAAGCAAACTCAATAACTGATGTTTCTTTAACAATTTCTTCTTTTTCTTCATCAGTTGAAGAAACAACTGGTTCAGTCTTAATCTTTTTCTTTCTTCCCATTTATATTAATATTTACATTTTTATTTTTGATATTTTGTATCACAAACTTAATTATTTCTAAAGCAAAATAGCATACTTTCTTGCATCTATTATCAGTTATAACAACTTGTTCTAAATTCTCTACTTCATCTATTATATCAATATAATCCGAATAGCTTCTATTCATATAAAATAATAAATATAAAATATTTTCTAAATAACTTTAATATTATTTTATTATGTCAGATGTTCCAATAATAAAACCAATAAACATAACTGAATATGAATTCAAACAATCTAAATATGAGCACGTGCCAAAATTACCATTTAGAAGTATTATAGTTGCGAGTTCGACAGGTGGCAAAACAGTCTTGGTTCAGAACCTTATCTTAAATGTTTATAGAAATTCATTTGCAAGAATATTTATATTTTCCCCCAGCGTTCATAATGACCCAACCTTTACAGAAGTTAAAGAATATATCAGGGATGAATTGCACGTGGATGATGAAAAAGAACAAATTTATTTTGATAGTTATAATCCAAGTGATTTAGAAAATGTAATTGAAAGACAGAAGAAAATAATTAATTATATGAAATCTAAAAAGATAAAGAAACTACATTCAATATTAATCGTTATAGACGATCATGCCGACGATCCTAAATTTGTTAGATATAGTAAATTATTACATGGATTATTTACAAGAGGTAGGCACGATGCAGTAAGCGTAATTTGTTCAACACAGAAATATAATGTGTTGGCGCCTATCATTCGTTTAAATGCCAGTTCATTATATATTTTTAGGTTGAAAAATGCCAGTGAATTAATGAGTTTTATTGAAGAAAATAGCGCCATTGTTGACAAACAGCAATTATTAGATATGTATCATCAAGCAGTGAATGACGCACCTTATAGTTTCTTCTACGTGAATATGAATGCTAAGAATGTGAATGACATGTTTTTTCTCCGTTTTGAACAGGCATTTCAAGTTACAAATGATGAATAAAGATATTCTAATTTAATATAATATAATAATATGCCAATGAAACTATGTAGATGTGGTGGGTTTTATCGTAGAGGTAATTACAATTTTCATACTAATTCTTGGATACATAAACTTTATAAAGTGTTAAAAAGACGACCAACAGACGAGGAATTATAAAGATTTCAAAATAATTTTGTTGATGAAGAAGATTTAATAGATGATATGTGTAGCAACGCCTCAACAAAATTACCCGAAAGTGAAATGACAGATTATGATAGTAATTAATAATATTAATGTATGTTAATATTATTAATTTAGAATAAAGAATAGCTACATAAATTTAAGGCAGGAAATTTATAATATGTTTTATCTTTTTTACATTCATTAACTTTTTCTAATTTATTTATTATTGCTTTCAATGAATTTATTTGTAGAATATCAATTCTTGACATTTCACTTATCGTATTTACATCTATATCTTTTATTACTTTAATAGCCTCTTCATCATCAATTTCTACTGGTTTTGATTTACTTGAACCCATTATATATATAAAATTATTTAGATTTTAATTTTTCAAAATTATATTTTTGTTTTTCTTCTCCGTCTTCTTCTTCTTCGTCTTCAGTTGGTGCTGGTATTTCTGTTGGACTTTCAGATGAAGAACTATGAACAGTAATAGGTGGCGAACTATGAACACTAATAGCTTCATTTGATGAATTGCTACTGCTACCTTGTGCATTTCCTGCTGTTATTTGATTAACTAAATCTGCGATATTTATTGTTGTTGCAATTGCGCTATGTGATAAGTTTAATATTATATCTGCTACTGTAGCGCCGTTGTGTAGCATTA